GGAAATAAGCTTCTCCGGCAGCTTTTTAGAGGCCTGCAAAGGATATCCACAAAAAGATGAATCCAAAATCTCAAGAAGCTACGTATGTATGCTGTAAGATGTTTACTGTCCTGAGAAACTAACCTGGAAGTGCCTCATGTGCAGTATTGGTTCGCACCCAACATCCGCAACTGACTTTCCATTCGGAGTTTGCAGTTTGAAACGGCCCGCTTCATATGCGGAAAGGGTATTATTTATCTCATCGGGCAGGTGGTGGCAAACTTTCAGGAGGGAGGCGAGAGAATTCATCTGGCATTTTACATTGAAGACTGCGTGAGGAACCTTAGCTCAAGCAAGTCCTAATCAACAACTTGAATATATTTAATTATCTACTGATTTAATTTGTAATAAGAATCGCCAAGACAAACTATTACAGAAGAAAACCCGGTATAAACTATTCTTGCAACCATTAAGGGTGAAACTAATGATTTAGGTACTTTCCGAGAATATCCTTGATTCGTGCCTATACTTTCCAAAATTATTACCAGATATCATGCTCGCAAAACATTTGGGATGTGTTAAACCTAGGTAAACTATCAAAATCAAACTCAAAAAAGGAAACGCTGACCTTCATGTATGGACAGGATGCACAGCCGCCGTTGATGGAACATCCCTCCCCACTGGAAACTCCAGGTATGACAGGTAGTATGACATCACCTACTTTTACAGAGTCAAGGCCCGGGGAAGAACTTGACGTTGTCATTGAGTCTGATGAAACTGGAAATACAATTTCTACATTAATTTCTGCTCCTCCAGACCTCGCAGAACCTAACAAACTACGAACTGCTGCTACAATTGAAGTCACCATTCCGGATTCTGTTCCTAACACAAACTGAAGGTGCTCATTGACATTTCTATCCAAAGCCTCTTGAATCCTCTGTTTTATGAAATCTAGTATGTTCTGGGTAGAACCCACAACCCCCATTCCTCTTCTCTTTGCTTCCATTGCCAAAGAAAACATTTCTCCAGGGACCTCAAAATGAGCAGTTAGATAAGCGTCACAGTACATTTCTTTTATCCTGTCGACAACTTCATTTCCAAATAAATGGTGTACTATGCATGTCCCATCCTGATACAAGAAATTTGCATCATCAGCGATAAATAAGCAGCAAGAGGACCACAATCAGAAAATGCAAGGAAAACTGCAGAAAGAAAATTTCCGACGCTATCCTTGAGTTAAATTGAAAGGAATTTATGAATAGCTCTCCAGAAAGCCATAAAAGTAGACTTACCAGAAAATAATGAAGGCGAGGTAGCAAAGATATGATTGAGTCTCTGTTATGTTTTGGATGTATCTCAGCAATTTCTTCATCAGTCATCTTAGTCATCTGGTGAAGTAATTCTCGAATATTTGCACCCATGTAAGAATCAGGCCCGTACCATATGTTTGCATCTGGAACTTGAACAAAAGCCTGTATAAGACGAGGAACTAGATGTTATTACAATAGCCAGAAGAAAGAAAATGAGTACCAGTTGATTTTGTGGACATTGCGGAGTTTCAATACGATTAAGATAAAGGTTTTAATTCCGGTAACCTGCAAAATGGTTTGGACAACATTTGAAGATGTACACGTAATTGTTGGCACAATCTCATGGGCGTATGCTTTTGTCTCTAGAGAAGTATTAATGTACACAACATGCAACGAATGAGGAGACCTAGAAGCTGCCTCAAGATAGCCCATATACGAAGGGCTAGATGCAGCATCTGCCAAAGAACATCCAATTCGTTCATTTGACATCCTGTACACACCAACCTGCAATCAAAGTATATGAAAAAATGAATATATTATCAACTGCTTCACCAGTTTGCGGCACCAAACCAACATCTCATTAACTCTACTACAATAATTTTCCAACGAACCTTTGAGATATCAAGCCATTCAATCGTAAACGCCCTAGTCAAAACCAACTTAACAAGTCCAACACATATTTTGCATTTCTTACTAAAACATGAATGGAAGCAAAGCAGCTACCTTTTCAAATCCAGCCTGATCAAGTATAGCTCGGACATTTTCCGACATAAAATCAACACCCAAGACTGTAATGTATTGGCAACCAGCTTTCGCCATGTTCACAGCGGAATCCGCCATGACTAAAGAATCAGATATATGGATGTGAGGCCAATGTTTCTGTGCAGCAGTTAGAATACCTTGAACCTCTGGGTCCATGTAAAAATGTGCAACAACCCCAATTTTCTTTTCCTTCAACACATTAACAAGTTCCACAACCTTCGATTCATCAGGAGACAAGTACCTCGCCTGCAATTTAATATACAAATCAAACTTGGAATCTAATACAAATGATTGAGGGCCTCTTTTGAACTGCTTTCCGAACCGCTAAAAGTGATTTATGACAACCAAAAATGCTTCTGACTACATTTAGCTATTGGGTCATAAAACCATTTTCTGCATAAGCACTTTGAAGTGGTTTTGAGGAAGCACTTTGAAGTGCTTTTACAGGAAGCATTTAATATTTTAACACAAATTTCGAAACTTTTCTAATAAAGCACTTCTAACAGGCAATATAATCATATAAATCAACCAGAAACACAATCCATTATGCCAACCTGGGCCTCAGCGAAGCTGCCTTTTGCCTGAATGCCCTCGGCGGTGACGACGAGCGACGGGAAAGGCTCGAACGGCGGCGTACCCTGCCGCTGGGCTACCAAAGCCTTAGTCTTTTTCTGCATACTGACCAGCACATTATGCCACGTGTTAATCCTAGACCTCTGCGCGCCCGGCAATCCCACATTGAGTGACGACAAGTCGTCGGTCTTGACCCGCAACACCTCCTCCGGCGACGTGCCGTCGAGCACCGAAACCAGGCAGGAGCAGAAGCCCCTGGTGATCTCGGAATCGCTGTCAGCCACGAATCTCATCTTGCCCTCCTCGTCCATCTCGGCCTGCAGCCACACCTGGGCCGTGCAGCCCATGACCCGGTTCGAATCAACCCGACCCGAATCATCAAACGGAGGGAGGAGAGCCGCGTAGTGCAACAGGCGTTTAACTCTGTCGATCGGCTCAGGGAGAGATTGGAACTCGGAGATCAAAGTTTGGAGCTTCAAGGGGACTAGCTCGGAGGTTTGGGAGGAGAGGGTGAGGGCGGAGCAGGAGAAGGGGGAGGCTGAGCCAGGGTTTTGGGGAGGCGGCGGCGGATGCTTTAATGGGTTGGGATTGGAAGATGGCGGCGTTTGGATGTATTTGAGGGATTTGAAGGGTGTGGACTGGGGAGGTGGCCGGAAAGTGCTGAACTTGAAAGGGAGTGACTTGTTGGGCTTGAAAGAAGCGGAGGAGGAGGAGGAGGAAGAGGAGGAGGAGACTCTGAGCGCCATGGTTGTTGCAGAGGAAGCATCCATTGGGAAGGGAAAAGAGAGAGAGAGAGAGAGAGAGAGAGAGAGAGTGTGAGAGGAGGGGTTAAAGCCTAAAGGTGGAGGCTTTGATTGAGTGGTGGAGGCAGAGGGGCAGAAACCAGAGGCTTTAAATGGATTTTGCTGCTCCAATGAAGTTTGCCATAAAATTGAAAATTTAAGTGAAAAGGGGAATTTAGGCAACCAAGGTCCAAGAAGGCAAGAACGCAGCAAGTTACTACCAATATATATGAAACTACGCGCCAATTTATTAAAATAAGGATAAATAATAGGACATAGCAGCCCATCCTTTCGAAATGTTGGGCCCACAACATCTCCATGGACGACAATTCTGGAGTGGGGAAGGGAACTCATCAGTTTCACGGCTGTTTGGGAGTTAGATGCTTAAAAAAAAACACTTATAAAAAAAAATTGTGAGGATTTTAGGTGTTTGGTAAACTGAAAAAAAAAACCTTATTTTGGAAGCTGCTGTGAGAATAAGCTGAAATCAAAGGAAAAAGCTGAAGCTGCTATTTGCAGCTTTGAAAAACTGACTTTTTTTCAAAGCACACGGAGCTACAGGTGCTCATTTAATGAAAAGACCCACTATCAAATTGTTTTTTTTTTCAAAAGCACTTTTACAAAAAAATTTATCAAACACTCTGCTGATTTATTTCACAGCCATTTATTCTCACAGCACAGCCGCTTATTCTCACAGCAGCTTTTTTTCAAAGCACAGCAATACCAAACCAGCCCTTAGAATGACCATTTAAAGGGTATCCGCGTAGAACGCTATTTTCATAAAACGAGTCTACTGCGATTGTAACGTTCTATACTAATAATACATGTTATATATGATTACGTTTCATGCCATGTGATATATGTAGTCTTATTATGCAATATGTATTATTGGCACAGAAAACTACGATTACAGAATGTACTTGTGCTATAAAAGTTTCTCGCCAGTCAGGTAGGTCTCACTAAAGTGGATCTGCAGGTGGTGTTTGGAAAACGGCCTGTTCTTTTCATTGTGTGTTTTTTTCTTCTTATGGTGTTTGGATTTAATAATATCAATGAGAATTGAAAGGGGAAACAAATAATAGGAGTGCATTAAAAGACAACAAGAGTGAAAATAATTTCTTTGTTTAACGAGTTGTATTATTTCGTGTTCAAGTTCAAACATAAGATTGACTTTTACACTTCTTTTTTAGATTTTTCTTGTTTATATGTTCTTTTTTGTGCTCCTTTTTTTGGATGTTTTCTTGTTTTTATGTTTTTTGTGGCACTAATTTCAATTAATTCTGACAAATTAATTGATACTAACATGTATTTAATATAATCTTTATCTCACGATCAAATTAAGATTGTGCAACTGATATTGTCCACATGTGTTTGATGACTTGAATACAAGTTTATCCGATATAGATGGACATATCGACCCTTAAAACTAGTTAGATAAACATCAATCCAAAAGAATATGGGTAGCGTCAAATCACGCTCGACAATTAGTTGATTGGTATGAACTCCACACCGATCAATATCTCTTTTTTAAGGATAAAAGAAAATTAAAAAAAAAATCTAAGTGAGAGTCTCCACTAATTACATAATTCTCAAATATTCAAAGCGAATTACGACAGCTGTAATAAGTTTTATTATCAAAAACTATGTTTCTGCTACAATTTCTACACGGTCACATTACGTCCCGTAGAGGATTACAACATTGTCAAGTGCAGAATTGCTAATGCATATTTAGGCGCAGCAGAAACAACCAACAAAACTAATAAAAAACATATATAAGAACGACAGATCTCGATGGAGGGATCAAGGGTTGTATGGGACCGGGATAAGGTTAAGAGAAGCTTTCTTGTGGACTGTGAGTCCGTAAACTTCATCGGTGTCCATGGTCTCGGCCAATTCCTTACCACCACTAGGCAGTTTCCAATCAAACCAATACAGAAGGTTGGAAAGCACATATTCAGCAGAAGCAACCCCAAAGCCGAGTCCAGGGCACACCCTTCTCCCAGCACCGAACGGGATGAGTTCAAACTCCTGACCCACGAAACCAACGTTCTTCTCCTCGAACCTCTCGGGGTAAAACTCATCGGGGTTGTCCCAGACTTTGGGGTCCCTTTGTACCGAGTATGCGCTCACAAACACCTGTGTTTTCGCAGGGATGTTGTAGGGTCCCAATTTCACGTCTGTACTTGTTTCGCGAGGAAGTAAAAGAGGCGCCGGAGGATGAACTCTCATATTTTCTTTGATGCAACATATCATGTAGGTCATTTGGGGGGTGTCAACATTCTCATCTACATATCCCTTGTTCCCCACCACCCTTCTTACCTCTTCCTGGACTTTCTTCATCACGCGTGGATTCTTCGCAAGCTCTGTCATCAACCATATCATGGCAGTCCAACTAGTATCACTTCCTCCAACAAACATGTCCTGAAATCGTAAAATTAAGAATCCAAGTCAATCTTCAGCTATATATATACAAACATATATGTATATAATCAATGTTAGAGACAGTGAGTGAGTGAGTGAGAGCTATGAAGGGGGATATATACGGACCTGCAGAAGTGCTTTGAGGTGGTCACTTTTGAGCTCGAAGTCATTGCCCTCCTTTTGAACTTGGAGGAGAATATCCACGAAGTCCTTCTTGCGAGGCTTGCCTTCTTTCTCTGCCGCCTGATGTTCGGCAATCAACTTGTCGAAAAACCTATCAAACTCGGACCAAATCGATGTCAAATGTTTAATGTGGCCACTGGCACGGTCGAGCCAATTCATCCTCGGACCAAAGTAATCCGTAAAACTGAAACTCATGAGTTGGCACATCAAATCTTTTGTCACCTCTCCAAACCACTTGTTCTCCTCGCCCTCAAACTTCTGTCCGAGAATACACCTGCAGATAATGTTGTTGGAGGTTGCCACCAGCAGATCACTCAGAACAATAGGACCTCCGCCATTGAGGCTCGACGCTTTGCGAATCTTCTCGACCAACTCCGAAACCTCTTCCACCCTCGCGTACTGAAACTGTGACACCCTCTTAAGACTCAGAAGCTCAAGAACACATATTTTCCGAACTTGCCTCCAGTACTCTCCGTAAGGAGCAAACGCGATATCATGAGCGTCATAGAACAATATTCCCGGAGCAGTGGCTTTTGGCCGGCTGCAGAAAGCAATGTCCTGCGTCTTCATCACCTCCTTGGCCATCTCTGCAGATGAAACGATCAAAGTCGGAACTTTCCCAAGGTGCACCAGCATTAAATCGCCATACTTTTTCGAGAGAGCATGGAGAGATTGATGTGGGAATGTGCCTAACTGGTGAAGGTTTCCAATCAATGGCAACCTTGGTGGGGAAGGTGGTAACTTGAGTTTTCGTTTCTCATCGCCATTGGACGATGATTTAGTAAGAGAAAACATAATGAATGCAGAAAGTATGATAAGAGGAAGAAGAAAGACATTCTTCTGCAGCTGCTCAAACACAAGTGCTAGAATAGCCATTGCTGTTCTAGCTCTTGTTGCTGGGTTTGTCTGAATACTTAAACTTCCGGGTTTTGCTGGGTTTATATAGGACACAAATCTCTAGAACTTCCACGACAAAATTAATAATCAATGCTTAGAAGTAGTTGGATTTCCCACGTCTACACCCCCATCTGATCTTCTTCCATTTCTTTTCCATGGATCATATGGATCCGAAATCCAGTAAAAAAAATAAATACGAATTCACATGTGCACAAGTTCTTTGGAAAGTGGAAAGAGGAAACAAAAGCAAGGAACCTGAAAAACTGCCGAGAAAAGCACTCAAAAAAGCAAGCAAGGCATGCAGAGGTGCATGGAAAGCATCCTCCCTCCATATGTTTGTCATGTTTCATACATGGTTGTAAGTAATAAAGTATCATCATCATGATGCATTTACTATAGGGTCCACAGAATCTAGATTTCATGCAAATTTTGTACTTGGACTATTGTCTACTAAGATTGCATCAGCATTAGTGTCAGTCTGACTTTGAAAAGAGGTTACTTTCAACCCCTTTTAAGTATATATATAACGAGCAACACTAGGTGATTAATTTCTAAGATCAAATTTGTAAATTATATAGTGTATTACTAGTAATAAATAAGCATGTTAATCAATATTTAAATAATAATTCAATTATCAACAATCACGTTATATGGTTTACAAAATTTGATCTAAAAAATAAAATTTTCTGCATTTCACTATATATACTCACTTTAAGTATACATAGCATGTAATATTTAACATATGAATTATAAGATATCTTTATAACAATATAAGGATAAGGTTAAATATTAATATAAAACAATAAATAATATGTACAAACATTAATCAAGTGGAATATATTTTCCACCAATGTGACATTATTTTACTGTATTCATTCTCTTTATCATCATTTGGAGAAATTCATTTGGCTTGGAGCCTGTTTAGTCATTCATATGAATCAAATAAATTGACAGTTCATTATGATGATGCCACTTGTTATCAAAACCGTCGATGGTTCATCACACACAGATGACAAAAGGGTCTCCAAATCAAATGAATTCTTTTACAAATGATTTTCATTCAACAGTAACAAGAATCAACCGATCTAATTATGATGTTTATATGATAAAATGATGAGATTCAAGCTTGCTTGTGTGTACATGCTTGTTGTAAGTAGATGTAGATGTAAAGGTGACTAAGGAACCGACCTAAAATACATTGTTTTTGTCTTGTTAGGGAGGAAAGAGAGTTATCAAATAAAAGAGGTCATCCTCCCTAGAAAGGAGGGATTGTATCTTTATATTTTCCTATTCTATCAACTATTAGGATTGCATTGATGATTTGCATCCACACAAAGGGACCACCTTGTGTGTGTATTAAAATTTTCATATCTCAGATACTTAGAAGGTAGCTAAGGAGATTCTCTCAAAATGAGATTTTTATGAACTCTCTGTTATCTCATAATTTAACGTCAATTTTTAAGTTAAAAATATAAATATTGTGTCAAAAATATAAGATAACAAAAAATTCATAAAGAATTCCGCTTTTGAAAAAGTTTCCTAAGCATTTCTCTTTCTAGTATCTGAATTTGTAGGAGGGAAATGCCTTACCTAGCATCCCTATATTTTGCCCTTTTCCTCTGGGCATTCCTATTAAACTCTTCACATGTGTATCACATCCAACTTAAAAAATAATATTCTGAAAAGGATATTATTTCTTTTTCCATCCCTTTATTTTATTTCTAATACATCTAAAGAAATTAAAAACAAATAAAATATAAAAATTCAAACCTACCTTTCTCTCTGCCCACAGCTCAGGTTCCCAACTACTTCAGCATATAAAAATACCCAGAAAAATAACACATTAATAGAGGGAACATATGGCTATAAATACATACAGTTTGGAGACAAATTAATAGAGGGAACTTGTGGCAATAAATACACAGAGTTTAGAGACAAATTAATGAAGGGGGCAGGTGTTTTTGTCTAATTTGTAAGAACCAGCTTCTTCAAAACTTGGGAAATGTTTACCCACAAAAATAGTATTGCAATATGTGAGAGCAACTTATATAAAACAAGTTCACTGTTACGTGATGTCCTAATTTAATAATATATTATCATGTAAAGAAAAAGTTGCACATAATAATACATTATTAAACATGATGTCACCTCACCATGAACGTGTTTTACGTAAGTCCTTCTTGCGATACTCAATTGTTTATCCCAAAACAGAAAGTCCAAGAGAAGTTTCATAGTCATCACCAGCACGAAATTTTTCTAGGATGTTTCGGAATTTTTAACTGTTAAATGCTTAATCAACAATATAATATATTAATAACCAAGATTTAACCAATTTCCCAAATCGTTTAAATTTAAGTGAAAAATGAAATCTTGGGAAAACACCACAAAACAAATAATCTACAACCACTCAATCAATCATAACCAGTAAAACTAGTCCAATGCTAAAGGGTGAGTTCATCCAGATTTACATTTAGATTATGTCAGACAATTACCTGATGGGCAATAGCAGCGGGTGGATTCTGGAGTCCAGAATGCAAAGAAGCTGCCGCATTCTGTAAAACGCAGCTGTGATTGGTGCCATCGGAGTTGGGGGCGACGGTGGCTGCTCAGGGAGTAAGTGATGAAGAAGACTGGAGGTTGGGGAAGAGCACAGATAGAGGGGTAGGGGGTAGGGGGTAGGGTGTAGGTGGCCTCGAATAATCGAATTATCCTATGTATTATTTTATTTTATTTGTTTGTTTCATTAAGGGTAAAAGGGTGAACTGGTGGTTCAGACCTTCAGATTATCCTCCAACAAAAAAAATAAAAAATATTCAGATTAGGTTAGGTTAGTATTATCTACTCACATATTTTTACGCACACATTTCTTTTAGTTTGACTGTTGTATTTGATGAATTGAAGAAAATTAATGATAAAATATAAACAAGAGTGTGTAAGAAGTAAGAATGAGTGTGAATAACATTTTTCATTGAGTTATTATTTCCAAATGTTGAGAAACCAGTTGATGGTAGAAATTTTTGCGAATAAATTGAGAAGGTAACTAGTATGTCCCTTTTTATTTTTCTTATTTCTTAGGTGCATGTATAGTACAAAGTAGAGTAGGGTATGGTTCTAAAATTGAGTGGTAGGCATAATCGACATTGACCCGACTGCATCACTATTTTATCAACGATCATCTATTAGATAGGACCATGAGTTCTTTTTTTTTTTTTTTTTTTTTTTTTTTTTTGACATATGATAGCCTTAGTGAGTTAGAGATCAGTGAGGATCGAACCCGTACTAAAGTATATGTGCATTATTATTTTCTATCACTACGATAAAACGTCGTCTGCAAAATTCAATTTGGTTTGGTGTGGTCATTTTTCCTTGAAATTTGTTAGAATCTATCAGTATCCGAAAAGATTGAACTCGATTCCGTTGAGATATTTAAGTGCCGGAGAATTGAAAGGGTGAAGGGTGTGTTGAGACAATTAGAGGGAGGGAGAGAGACGTTAATAATATTCACTTTATAATAATGGCGAGTTTGATTAACATTAATACTAGCCTATTGTGATATTTTGTCTACTTCTTCTCTTAGTGTATATAATATCATTTGTTAAAAAAAAAAAGACTAGATAATATAGTTTATTCATAAAACAAAACAATGACATTGTTACTCCTCCGTATACTTCTTCATATATAGTAAAAGAAGAGAAAAAAGGAAGAAGAAAATAATAATATTTGTCAAAACTGCATGAAAGAGATGAGAGAGACCTTGACAAATGACAATGTATCATTTTATAAGGTTTTGTTTTATTGACATAGAAGGACTACATTCTAGGTGTAGATGAGGAGAGGAAGGAGGCTGGAGGTGTTTTACTGTTTTTTTTTTTAATAATCTTTTATGCAATAATATATTTATAGTAAGGAGTGATGAAATAAATAGGTATGGAACTTGTTATTCATAATATTTGAATTTAAAATTTCTCACTTATAAAGAAAAAGAATAGTATTCTTTATATAGATGTAGTATTAAGTGTCGGAGGTGCTTGTATACTATTGATCAGTGGCTTTTGCGCTAGGAGATCATCAGCTTATGGCCTATGGCTTTAGACAGCACTCTGGTGGGACAAGTTAGTTATCATTTTGGTGAAACTGAAGTGAGTGAAGTGATATAACTTATGTTGGAGTATGTGGCCAAGTGGCTAAATAAGTCATTCACTTTCGGCTATTATAAAATTATAAAGGAAAGGAAAAAGGTGGACAACATCTTTCCTTGTTTTGGGGAGGAAAAAAGGGAAAAGGCAACTTTCTCTTCTACACCCGTGGGTTTTGGTCATTTATGTTTTGGTGGTTGCCTTTGCAGCCTAATAATAGAGAAGAGAAAGAGATAGAAAGCTACGGAGGGTGAGTAGAAAGTGTAGAGCTCATTTTATGTTTTGAGCTGAATACAGAGAGAAGAGAGCAGCAGGAAAAGAGAGTTGCAGCTCCTCTTTGAAGAGAATAAGAAAGTGCTCATCTCTTTGGTTAGTAATCATCCACCAAAGTAGTTGTTGTTGTAATAGCTTTGAGCTATATGTGTAGAGAAGAAATGATTCATTATATTTCTTTCTCTATTTGTTTCTTTGGTGTGTGAGAGCTATTGGGTGTATTGGGCTTATGGGTTGTGAGATTGTCAACACTTTGTAAACTCCCATTTGGTTGATAGTGGATTATTGGGTGAGCTCCTACTGCTCCGAGGACGTACTCCAGTTACACTGACTGTAAATGAACCTCGTTAAAATCTTGGTGTTATTTTCTCTATATTGTTCTTGCATTTCATTTGATATATTTTCTGTGGGTTAGCTTAATTTGGTTCCGCGTGGTTTGGTGCTATCCTAGCACAACAATTGGTATCAGAGCACTAGTTGCTCTTGGGTACTGTTTAGTTGCCAAAGATGTCAGACGGGTAAGATGAGAATCCTTTTGGAAGCAGCTCCGGGTTTGCAAGAACTACGGTGCAAAATGCAAAGTTCGAAGTGGAAAAGTTTGATGGCACAAACAACTTCGGGATGTGGCAATGTGAGGTCAAAGATGTGTTGGCTCAACAAGATCTACTTGCCGCTTTGGGAGAGAAGCCAGAAGCTATGTCGAAGCCGGAATGGGAGAAATTAAATTTGTGGGCTTGCTCTTCAATTCGGTTGTGCCTTGCAAAAACTCAGAAATATTTTGTGATGCGGGAGACGGTAGCAAGTGTGTTGTGGCAAAAATTGGAAGACAAGTATATGACGAAGAGTGCAGAGAACCGGCTACACTTGAAGAAAAAACTCTACCGCTTCCAATACAAAGAAGGTACAAAAATGATTAGACACCTTGATGCTTTTAATAAGTTGATTGCCGACTTGTTAAATTTAGATGAGGATATTAAGGATGAAGACAAGGCCTTAATATTGTTGAATTCCTTGTCGGACTCTTATGAGCATTTTGTTACCACTATTATGCATGGTAAAGAAACTGTGAAATTTGAAGATGTGTCAAATGCCTTGATGAATTATGAAATGAGGCATAGAGACAAAAATCATGATAGTACCTCTGAAGCTTTATTTGTTAGAGGTAGATCATCGGAGAGGAGGTCCTCTACTAGTAGGAAAAAATCACAGTCTCAACCTAG